GCAATCGGTAGATCGCCACCTGTCACAGACGTCAAAGTACCCCGCGTAAAAACAAGAAGCATGGGAATCTCGCGCACCTAGTCTTTCGCAATCCGTCAAGGCGAACAGCCGTCCTTGGATCCATCTTCGGAAATGTTCGCGGCGTTTGGCTATCACTTACCGGTCGCTAGAATAACAGCTTACTCATTTCAGTGTCAAAACAGCTGGCCATGGGCTCCCTTTGCTCGCCACTTGTTACGGTCTTTTTGTTATTTGACGGCAGAAAGACTCGTCATCAGTCCGCTTTTTATCGAAGTTATTTGTTTTACTCACTTGGTTACCGAGAGAAGCCTCGTCGATACGCATTTATTTTTTTTCATCTATCTCAGAAGTAATCAAAAACTGGTTCCTTTTTATTTACCTATCATTTCCTCTTCACACGACATGGTCACCTACTGGGCGATCAAATTTTGTGGAGAATATCCCAAAAAGCAGTACTTTTCAGTTCACACCAAATAACACTTCCTTCAACGCGGTGAATGCTCAAGGCCCACAGGTCTACTGAACCATCAACTTTAGATTGTACATCGCCACATTTGCTAAGGTTTTAAAGATGAGGTGGGCCGGGGGGCACGCCATGCGTTTCGAAGACAAGCGCTGGACTTACCACGACTGGTTTTCGCGGGATGACAGCGAACACCTGATCGATTGCTTACCGATTGTCAAACTTCATCGCAGAGGATTTGAACGAACAGTTTGGCGTGTTCATCGTGTCCTCGAGCACACCCAACCCATTGAGCAACTCGAGCACTTTGCGGACGATTGGAGACATTACTGACGCCACTTTCGAGCAGTACATGGTCAACGACAGCACAGGTGATACAGGTTGATTCTCTGTTGATGAAGATAATTCCAGTTTTGCGCAAGAAACCTTCTATGAACTCTCCCTCAAAGGTGATTCACGGCGGTCCTATTGGTCCTCTACTTCTCAAAATTTGAAAGTTCAGAGCACATTCTGACAGCACTTTCAGAATTTTGTCAAACAATCATCATTCCTTCAGTGTAGCTAAAGCCATATCGTGATCTACCCAGGCAGATCAACTCTCTCAGTAGGTGTCTTTCAGATCGTTTAGCAGAGTAAAGTTCTGTCTTCGATAGTGTATGTGAAGACAAGTTGACAGCTAGGTTTATCACAGCTTTGCGAACCTCAATTATGTACGAGCCGTCGCTTCGAGTAGTCACAGTGTACTCACCATATCAGTATCTGACTGACGAGTGCGGATCCAACTCATATACTCGAAATCCCTGAGATCGGGTAGGCGGAGCATTCGAACACTGTAAAGAACTGGTTACTAGTGGAATATTCCAGTCTGGACAACTGTCATCTTGTTCTGTGTTGGACAGAGACACGACAACGATTGTGTCGAGATGAAAATATCGCATCAGAAGCGTAAACGCCTTAAGGATAAGTTGAAACATGCGGCCACGCCTACCCGATCTCAGGGATCTCGAGTGTACTTTCGATAAGTTCTTATTGACTCATAAACTTTTGTATCACTATGCGGTAATATTAGGTTGTCCGGAAAGTTCTCAGCGTTTTGAGTGTTTCACTTTAAACGATCATAACTTTCTTAATACTCATCGGATTTAATCGAAATAGGCACCGTTCGAATCAGCACACTTTTGCCAATGTGACACCAGTCGAATCCCATCAAAGGAAAAAACTGGGTGGTCGAGAATCCACGAAGGCTTTTTTGCCTGGTCCTGATTGATGAAGTATTTTCCAGCAAGGAAGTTCTGAAAATGTTTGAAAAGGTGATGCAGTACCTCGTCAGGCATTGCTTTAGGTTGACCGCTACGAGGTTCATCTTCAAGGCTGAAATTTCCAGAACGAAATTTTTCGAACCATTGCTTTCTCCAGCACTATTGGGCCCCACACCTGGTTAATTTGTTGAGCTGTCTCGATTGCGGATTGACGCAATTTTTTGGTCGAAGAAAAATATGCTCGGTCGTAAAGTATGCTCTTTTAAAAATGGCTTCAAAGGTCTTGGGAAAAAGGGGTTTGTCAACTACGAATGAGTTTTTAATCAGCAATGAAATTACAAAAAATAGTAACACAAAACGCTGAGAACTTTCCGGACAACCTATTAATAACATCAATACCACTGAACCACATTCATGGTTGTCTGGCCTTGAACCCGATCATGACATCCGCCTGTACACAGATGGAGTCCGCACCACTGTTCACTTTTGCCACCGACACACCTAGCGCCACTATCAGGCATTCTCGCCCTGAGGAAATGTGGTGTTTGTGTGTTTGTAGGGTGACTGGGGCCGAGAAGAAGTTTCCAGAGTAGCCGCTACCTTCTCACCTAGAGCGGACGACTCCAAGGCCTGTTGCAATCTCTCCAAATCTTATGCACGGGCTCCTCTCAACTACAGGAGGGGGGGGGGCAATAAAAAAAGTCACTTTTCTTCTTGACTTTCGAGGCGCTATAAGTTACACTTTATAAATTCTGATCGGACATTTTACCACCATATTAAAGAGCATATTAAATACTATCATGATACTCCGCCACAGCCTTCTGGAGGAGCGCCATCGAGAGATTCTGCCACGCGACCGTGAGTGGGTACCTGAGTTCAGCGAGATAGTTGATTTCTCCGCCACTGTAGACCACCCTGTTGAGCTCCGCCCGAACCGGGTAATTGAGGGGTTTAGGTCAGGTGACCTACTTAGATATTCCATCTTCTTTAGGTACTCAACGTCCTTCCATTCCAAGTGGGCGAGAGTTTTTCCAACGCCCTTCGAATCCACGTGGTGTCACCCAATCCTGTAGCAGTACAAAGTTTCCAAGAAGGTACGGGCGACGACATGTGGGGAGGATATTCTTCTCGAGTTGCTCGATGTAACCGCCAGCGCCGTTTAGTCCCTAGCCGCTCACCTTCAGTCCGGGAGTTCACGAAGAAAATATCGGTCTTTCCATTCCAGGTACTCAGGTCCATACCATCACCCGCGCCTTGGCGACTGCGGTGAAGATGATGTCCTAGACCGTAGCGACATTTCGGAGCCAGTGCTCGATGCTTGGTCGATCTTGTCATTCAGATACGAGAGTACTGGTCTCCAGGTAGCTATCTCATGGGTGACTCCATACTAGAAGTTTCGCAGCTGTTTGGAGGTGACATGAATTCCAAAGGTCTTCTCCAGTCAGGCTGCGACTGGAGATGACTTCATATTTTGGTGTACACGAAGGTGGGCGAGAGCCAGCTCCTCCTGTTTATCGAGGAACATCTTTGGGTATCTACCGCGCGCTGATTACTTCCGTATCACGTCCTCTGTCTTGGCGCTGCGTAAAACATTGCTGCGACTATGTGACTGCGATCGATGATGACTTTTTTATTGGCCCACCTTGTACAGTCGCTCATCATTGCAGAGCGGCTGGGGCGCAGTGAGATCGCGCCGGCGTGTGGACTCGGCTGTGACTGACGTCGCGTCCCAGTGAAGTACGCAATTACGGATTGCCACTCTGAGGGATCACGACTGTACATTAGTTCTCAGTAGTAGAGCTCATCCCCAAAAGGCTTAGAATTTTCTGTTGAAAACTCAAGATTGTCAGAAAAAAGATTTTGAAGTAAAGTTTCCAGAACTTTCCTTCAAGCATGATTTGACCTGCAATTCTGAAAAAAATGGAATCTGAGGCATGCGCAGTTTGTGTTTGGTGGAGGCACTGAACGGTACCTAGCGAAACCTTACAGGCTACCTTGTCAAGGCCTCTAACTTCTGGCCAAAAACTGCACTTTGTATCACTTTACAACTGCTTGATAGTTTACAGATGAGACCAACCGAGACCTGTTAGTAAACCTAGCAGGAGTTACATAGTTCAAACCCCCACAGCCGGTGAAAAGCTGGCTTTTTCATTAATTTTTTATTCTTCTGGCGAGGTCTGACTGCAGAACTTTCCTCCCGTTTTAGCTAGTGGATGTTCAATTCGCTCAAGTTAGAGATTGAAGATTGTAGTCTTGGTTCGATTTAGTAACTGAAGTGTTGTAAGGGGGCGCCTGTGCGTGCATCAAATAAATAAATAAACAAATAAATAGCAAAAAGAAGTAGCAAAAATGCCACTGCCCCTCCCGTCCTCTCCAAGCCGGACAGTTTCATGTGGTGCATAACACAGGGTCTTCCTCTGTAATCTCCTTTCTTTTCCATGACGGCTTTCTGCTGTTATCATTATTGAAACTACAGAACTTCATTGATACACGACAAATACTAGACGTTCAGCACATGCCGATCTTCTTGCAAACGTCAGCAGGAGCGGTACCGGACTCAAGTTCCTTTATGATTTTGTTCAGATCTTCATCAACGAACTTCTTACATTTCGATGTTGCGAATGGAATTTTGTGCAGCAGTTTCTTGCATTCCTCATTCACGGCCTGAATGTTGAGTATTGTTAAAAACGAATGATCTTATGAAATGTTTTCTCATGATGGCAGTTGTTTCCGCCAGAGCAATCCAATGATAATAGTATTGGTTGCAAAATAAAAAGTTAGATCCTTTGAGTAATTTGCACTATCAAAGCTATTTGAACAGCACGACATAAAAAGAATAGCTAGGAAAGGAAAGCAACGAATACACTTCTTCTCCCCATATGAAATTAATCCCATAAGTTTATAGATGATATCGTCACAATCGGTGGGGCGGAGGCAATAGGGGTGCAGTGCGCCCGTCCCCGCTGCCTTTTCTACCAATGGTGATAGGTAAGTGATTGATCTAGAAAAAAGCAAACAGTGGGTGCATGCTTCCTGATACCGTCCCGAATGATTGCAACGATATCAACCGTAGGTATCCCGAGCAACAGTCCACTGCTCACTTGACCCGGTTCAGGAACAACAGAAATACAGCACTTTTCGTCAGTTCCTGTTGAATATCGTTGGTAACTTACTGTTAAGTTCCAGATCTATCGAAAACTTACGTTTTCGATATCTTTCGTGTCCTGGTCCAGCATGGGTACAACAGTTTTTACTGCCATTTCACACATGTCACACTCGAGTGACGCCAGCTCTGAGGTCTGGACTCCAACATTGACGCTGATGCCAATGGCAACAGTGGCGAAAATGGCAACGAGCAGAATAGAAAGGCTTCGCATCTAAATTGCCATCACTCTGTATTGGATAAGTAATATGGGAAAACAAGTATTCACTCAACAGCATAATACTCGAATCGAATGTAGCCAACAGCAATATTTGTACACTTAAGAAACCAAATATGCGATGAAGAGGTGAGGACTGCCGCTCACTTTGGGTAAGATGCTACATACATATAGTATATGCAGCCTTGTTCGCTCTGGGTGCTGGGAAGTGTCAGGGGGCTGGGTTTGGCTTGGCGCCACCCGTTCTGCACCAGTTGTTGGGGCTAGGAAGCAACAACTATTGAAAAAAGGGACGGACGCTGCGCCAATCCCTGCCCCTTGCCACGCCCAAAAAAAAAGAAAAAAGAAAAGCAAAAAAAAAAAAAAAAAAGAGGAAAAAAAAAAGAGAGAAAATGGACGAAGGGACGACGGGACGGATCCATCTCACGGGCGGTTCGCGCCGGCGATGCGGGATAGGGGAGCCAGGCACCGGAAGTGGATGTGAGTCAAAAAACAAAAAAAAGATAAAAGAAAGAAAGAAAACAACTAAAAAAAACAACAAAAAAGGACACAACAAAAATATATATATATATATATATATATATATATATAGCGAACGGGACGACGGGTAGCGAGAAGAATAAAGGAGAGAGAAAAAGGACAAAGAGAAAGATAACACAGACGAAAAAAGAAGAAAAACACAGGAAGACAGAGAGAGAAGAAACGAAGAATACAGACAAAACAAAAAAAAAAGAAAAACAAAAAAAAAGAAAAAAAAAAAAAAAAAAAAAAAGAGTGCGGAAAAAAAAAAAGGAAGGATAGAAAAAAAAAAAGAAAAAGAGGGGAAAAAAAAAAGGAAGGAGAAAAAGTAAAGAAAAAAAAAAAAGGAGAGCATCCGCAGCGAGCAAGACTATACAGTATGTCGCCTATGAAAATGTTATGTTAAATGTCCTCATTGATGACAAAGATGGAGGCAGAGAACTACTGCGCCTTCCTCATGCCTGTGCCCCTCCATTTAGTACGTTTCAAGACCAAACTGTACACTCATCTTGATGAAGCCTTTGCCATGTGCCTCGTATAGAAGTTGGGTCCGCAGTGCAGTAGCACACCAATTTCTCCGCTGAGAGGCGGTGACACACCGGGTGCCGTTTGGCGACTTCGCCCTGCTGCCGCATGGCCAACCGCACGTCTTACCATAGCAAGTGCACAACTTGTCTGCGCCTTCTCGTACTTATATACCTCTGAGTGTCCGTTCGCAGGAGGATTGCGGTATCGCGCAAATCTTCACTTTGGAAGCAGTTGGGCACGTATCCCCCCAAGCACCGCTTAGGATCAATAACTCCTGGCAGGATAGAATTCCGCGACCCTGGGCAGGCGCTGCATAGCGGTTTCCCCGAGGAAGGTGCCCTTATAAGGGCCCTATCAAGCCACAACTTTACGTCCCAAACGCCCGCGCTACGCCCGCCCGCCCACAAATGGACGACCGTTCCTGACGCTCGTATTCATTCATTTGCTAAGCAAATTATGAAGCGAAGGGATTGGTATGAAAGCCGTGATGCTGCATGCATATATGGGTACACATATGCAGCCCGTATCTTCGGTAGCGGTGATTGGTAAGATGCCTACGGGAAACTCGTCCGAAATCGATTTACAAGTCACTGAGAACGGAGGCTTTTTCTTCGCAGGATTTTGACCGTTTCACTCCGTTCTTTCGCCATTTCCCCACTATACAGCGCCCTACTAGCATTTTAGGCTAAGTAGGAAACCATCGTGCCAACTGCCTTTAAGGATGGCGCGGACTGATTCATGAGACGGAACCCGGGTGGCAATGTCCTTCCAGCCCGTTTCCGTTTCCGTGCATGTTTGAGCGGGAAAAGGTGCCACGCTACTGCACTTACGGATTTATTCACCTCACTCATGCGAAGGGCATTTCAGAGGTGAGCCGTACCGTTTGTTCTCAAAGAAGTGACGAAGAGGAAACCATGATGGTTCCCGATTTCCCACCCATTTTTCTGCTGTGGAAACAGCTTGAACTGTCCCAACTGTGACACGTGATGAACAGTATCAGATAAGCACCAGGTCTGTGTTTCGGTATAGGAGTGGAAGTGGGGGGCGACGGTCCTGTGGGGGAGGGCAACGTAGTACTCGATTCGGCACTTTGACGTTTACTGTTTTGAACCCTTTGCTAGAATGAAGATCGCGTTTTTAATGCCCCGAAGCTTCCTTCCCCGCCGGCATTTTGCGATAAGGCAGTTTACCACGCCGCGTGGACGATAAGACCATGGCGAAACTGCAATATAATCAACGAAGCTTGGTACATTAGTAGTCAGTTATCCTGTCAACTGGCCCGTCATGATCGATTTTCTTTGTCACCCCCCCCAGAAGTTTTGCATAATGCGCAGGGCATAATTATTTCAAATTTTTTACATGCTCTGTGACATGTTATCATAAGGTTTGGTAATATCTGCTAACGAAAGTAAATAGAGGACATTAGTGGCAACCCATTCTGCGGCTTCAACACAGGCTAAGCAGCATTCGATATACTGTAGCAGTTCCACGTTAGTTCAATTAGGCGATTCAGCGGAATACCACCAATAGCAACGCCGCTTTCGCTGCCGCACCGCAACGTGGATCACCTAATTGGCACTCAAGAGGATATAGTTTTGCAAAAAGGTTCAAAGAGTGCAACACGAACGGGAAATCCGTAGTTGTGCTTCTATAGAAGTTCGGAAAAATTTTCAGAGCCTTTGGAAAAGACGGAGATAAGGTGTAAGTGCAGATGGAGCTGAATTGCGAGGATTATTGATGTGCTACTGTCTGAAAGGAATGGCAGCAAGCAAACGGTTGTTCTGAATTGGACCAAAAAGCAAGTTCCAACTCGCTTTTATACTGATTCGGCATGTGCCCTGATAAGGACTGATACGAGCATGCCATCCTATCCACCCAGCAGCGACAGCATAGCGATTATGCGCCTGTTTCGAGCATTCTTGACCGAAAGTTGAGGTTTCGCGGCAAAATGAAGCAAAAGCACAAATCTGTTCGCTCCAACGAATCTACATGAACGACTCATTCCATTTGAGGGCAACTTGTACTTACATACCTTTTCTCTCCCATCTCGCACAATCTGAAGAGTATTAATCCTATGCGTCCTCACCTCGATTACAGTAGTACACCGAACACAAGGCACCATACACACTATCCCTGTTATGGGTCCGATCTTCGTTTAAAAATGAGACTTTTGGTGGACGAGGTACCGAATCGCTTCTTGATTACATCACCCGCGTGGCAGTCACATATGGAGTACGACCTTGGCAGGACGAATGAAAGTACTACCACTCGAATAGAGGAACCCACTCATGCTATGGAGCCCGTCTACACCATCATTCATACGGTGGTGAGTAACAGACGCTTTCTCGGGAATGTCTCGTGTAAGGTGGCAAGATTGATAACAAAATATGAAACTGGCAGAATTATCCCACTATATGTAATCGGCAACGTCCATTACGTTTTTCTTTGTTTGTTTGCGTGTGTTTTTGCTTGCCGTAAGTGCGGTAATCCTTAGAGAGCCACTTGAAAAGTGCGGATAGGTGTGGGAATGGT